TGCTCCTATATAACACACAGGGCCTGGGAGCACTGCTGTCATAGCCTGCCTGAATGCCCGTCGGGCAGAGCGGAGCCAGAATTCCTTGCTGGCTAGAACCATCACAAGCTGCTTTTTTTAAAAAATAGCCACATATCAAGCACCAGTGCAACATGCCAGGAGTCCCAGCTTGGAGCCTGGCCGAAAACAGACCTCTCAGTCCAAATGGGCACCGTCTCTTGCCCTCTTTTCAAATCTGAGGGGCCAGATGAGCTGGTGGAAGTCGAAGGCTAACTTGCACCAGCTGAGGATTTGGCCCTGAGTTTTGGTGTAAAACAAGCTCTACATCGGAGCAACCCGCTGGTTTTACAAAACCACCCAATCGCCCCCCCCCTTTGGCTACACTTTGGGGTCAGGGGTTTGGCACCAAGTTGGGCATCACTTAGGATCTTAAAGGGCTAATGTTTTTGTCAGCCCTATTCAGCGGGGTTTCCTGTGGAAAAACCAGGAACGTGCCAAAGATTTGGGCTTTAGTTGACAGGGGTTAAACCATCTGAAAATACTGCTTGATGAATGGAACTGATGAAGAGTAATTAGTGGAAACCTTGGCTCGAGACTATGAATGGGAACCTCTGGAATAATTTGCAGCAGAGAAGCTGCCTCAAAATACTAGAATGTATTGGTTAGAGGTCTGGCATCTTGGAGCGTCATCTGAAACAGGGGCTGTACGAAGCCTAAAGTTACAAGGGAGGGGAGAGGTAAGGGATAAGAGTTTTTCCTAGGGAAAGACGGAGCAACGAGGCTAGTTCAAAGAGCTCAGACTGCATCGAGGGAGTTGCCAGAGTGCAGAGTTCAAAGCTATGTCAATTTTGTTCTTGTTACAGAGTGGAGGGAAAGAACAAGGGCAGTGAAATTGTCAGACGTGACAATAGATTAATCACCATGGGAAATGTACCGAGTGTTTGGTGTGGGGGTGTGGAAACTACTGTAGAGTGTCTTTGGAGTAACAGCCTTTTGAAAAGTACTAATGGAGCCCGTAACCCCCAGCCATAGGGAGGGAGATCAACTATGAAACAGGAAAGAAAACCAAATGCCAAAAGGAACAGGCTAGGCAGGCTTTAGTGCCATGCAGCGGGGTGTATGGTACGGTGAAGTTCTGCTGACATCAGTGTGGGCGGGGTTTTCTCCCCATGAAAGAAGCAGCAGAATTGTTCAGATGAGACATGAAACCCAAACTGGAAGTGGCTTGATCTAGCTGCTTGAGCACTGGGCTGGGATTCAGGAGAGCTGGGTTTTATTTCTGGATCTGCCACTGACCTGCTACGTGACCTTGGGCAAGGTATTGCACTTCTGTGCCTCAGGTTCCCCTCCCACCTTTTTCTAGCTTGCCTATTTAGATTATAAGCTCTTCCGGGCAAGGAGTGTCTTGTACTATTTGTGTGCGCAAAGCCTAATATATTGGAGCATATAGGCAATACTGTAATACAAATAATAATTATAGTCAATCGGTGTAGATCCTAGACATTTTTTTGTAAGAACGTTAACTCCTGAGTTCTGGCCATATTGGGGTTTGGGTAATTTCATTCAGTTTTTTCAGATGGACACATTTTCTTCTTCACTTCCTATCTAAAACTGTTGGAATGTTGCTGTGCACTGATAAACAGCCTATTCCATATTACCCCAGAGACGGCTGCATTTCAGTGATATTTAAACAGGATCCCAATCCTGCAAATACTCCTACACACATATAACTGTCTGCATGTGAGCAGTTGCACTGAACTCAAGGGAACTAAACCCATGTGTACGTGGTTGCAAGATTGGGGCCATAGCTTATAAAGTGCTTTGTGATCCTTCACGATGGTGAAAGGCATTCGAAAATGTGTGATTATCTTCTGCAGTCTGGATTTGCTCAAGGGCTTCTGGAACTCAGCTTGATATTTCCTGGGCTTTTTTTTTTTCTGTCCAGAAAAGGAATTGTTTTTAGCAATGGCTGCAGATTCCAAAATATGTTATTAAACAATGGACATGAAGTCTATAATCATGCCAATTGCTTGCTTTTATTAAAGAAAGCTTTAGTAATTTGGGGCAGCCCAGAACAATAGCTACGGTGAGATGAATTTAGCTGCATCATATTCAGAGCCTGACCCTGAAAAGCAGAGCTAAGAGAGCCCCTTATCCCCGTGCAATGTGATTATTAAACTTGAATGGCATTAGCAACATCTGCATATGGCCTCCGATTTATAACACAGTAGAACCCCCATGTTACAAATTAGTTAGGGAGTGAGGAGCTCATAAAATTGAACATCTCAAAATTGTAGTGTGTATGGTGCATAAATTGAAGCATGGAGCACTGAATCAGTTTCTTCTTGTCCTTCCAACCATGGCAAAGAGACTTCCAGTGAGTTGAAGGCATCAGAATGTATAGGGATGTCAGCTTGTTCTTCACCAACCTCAGTTTGGTTATATGATATCGTTTTTCCATCGGGGAACTTGTCATGTGTAAGATTGGTGTTCATAAAACTGAGGTTCTGCTCTAGTTATTATTATTATTGTATCATATCACTCATGGGCACATTGTGCTAGGAGCTGTACAAACACAGAACAAGAAGACTGTCCTTGCCTTAAGGGGCTTTCAATCTAATGCAACAAAGCTGCACAGATGCAACAGCAGTGGGGCTTACATCGGGACAAAGACTAATGGCAAACAGGTAAGGGGCATCAGCTCCTGGAAATGCCCATTGAGGGGCTAACAGCAAAGCTGTTTGTAGGGAAGAGCTGTTGATATCATTATCTCCCGGGGGCTTTTAATGACAAAGGCAGCAAGACAGAAAAGCGATAGATTCTCAACCAAGGGGTCCCAACCCCCATCCTTTTCTTTAGGGTTAGCTCAGCTCTGGCAATCTGGGAAAGCCTTTCAGCATTTCCTGTGCCGGAGTCAATTCCTGTCCCATTGGGAAGATCCAGTCCCAGACTGTTGGCCCAGTCACCAGGGCTGTAAGAGGAGCTCCGTTAGGACTGGAATAACCCATGGTCTTTATTTTTCCGCCTCTCTTATTCATTAAAGCTGGGCATGGAGCTATTTATGGCAAATGCAAGAGAAACATCCCCTCCTCCCCTGCCCCACTTTCTCTCTGTGAGTGCCTTTCTCTTCTTTTTTCCTCTTCTGTATCAGAGCCAGTTTTTTCACTTTGCTGAATATCAGCAGAACTGCAGAGGTCAAAAGAGGATTCATGAATCTTCACACAACATTCCCAGGAAGAACATTTCCCCGTAGCTGTAACCTTCACGCAACCACAGTGTCTGCCTGCCCCTCACCATCCCTATCCGGTGTTTCCCTTATGCCGAACATCTGCCAGGGCCCAGCTGTCTGCAAATAAAGATGTTCTTCCAGTAACACCTCGTCGCTCTTTGTCCATGAGCAGCTCCCCCTGCCATCCCTCCAACTTCCCTGCTGTGCAGTAGTAATAGACCCCAGTACAGTCAGTTCCAATAAATGAAGATTTCTCAGTAGATTAACGCTTACAGCGGTTTTCCCTCAGCCCATCCTGATTCTCTCTCGCTGTTCGCTTGCCTGTTTAAAATGGGAGCATGGTGCTGGCAGAACTGACCGGGCGTAGGCCCCTGGGGGATTGTCCTCAACAAAAAAAAACAGTGGGCAATAAACACAAGGGCTCTGTGAGAGCCAGCCCACTCTGCATTGCTCACTGCCTGCAAAGGTTAGAAGGCAGGATTGGTCTCTTACCAAAGGGAGGTGGACACTTGGGTGTTCCTGGGCCTTGTTGCTAGAAGAGAAATAAAAGATCCTAGCCTAAAAGCTGCGACAGAGATTGGGCTGTGCAGAAATGGGATAGAGGATTATTTCTCCTCTTGGTCATCCATGACAGTAACTTGAAGTTCTCCACCTGCACTTTGCGGGGGAGGATTCGGTGACCTCAGTGCGGTTTCTGTTCTGCTGAAGTTCACATCACAGCTATGGCTGCCTGGCGATCGCAGCGAGGCAGATGGGTCATGGAGACTCACTATTCTTTGTATCACGGTAACACCTAGAGGCGCCAAGACCAGGGTCCCATTGTGCTCGGTGCGGTACACCCACGTAGTAAGGTCCATGCTGTGGAGTGCTTAGAATCTGACTTAGATGGGGCAAAGGAAGTATTGTCATCCCCGTTTTGTAGCTGGGGAACTGAGGCAGACTCGCCCAAGGTCACACCAGGAGTTTCATAGAGTTTAAGGCCGGAAGGGATCATTAGCTCACCTAGTCTGACCTCCTGTATATCACAGGCCATGAATTTTCACCCAGATACCCCTATATTAAGCCCAAAGACTTTAGTCTCCAAAGGGCTGAAATGTTTTTGTCTAACTAAACCGTGTGCCCCAGGCAGAGACCAGGAGACACCGAGGTGCACCAATGCTAGAGGCCCCTGCAGTGGCAGAGAACTGATTAAGTGAATTATGCCCAGATGATCCCAGCAGGAGATCCATGCCCCATGCTGCAGAGAAAGGTAAAAAACAAAACCCCCAAGGTTTCTGCCAATCTGACCTGGGGGAACATTCCTTCCTAGCCTCACATCCAGCCATCAGTTTGACCCTAAGCCCGTGAGCACGACCTACGAGCCAGGCATCCAACCCAGATCTCCTGAGTCCCTACCCAGTGCCTCAGCTACGAGACCATCCCCCCCATCTCAAAGACCGAACTAGCCCCTCATCCCAAAGTCCGGGCCATCCGTCCAGGTCAGGGTGGAGGCATGTTGCTGAGGTGGGCTGAGGGAAGGTCACACGGCAGCTCTCCATGCAATGTGATGGCCTCAGTCTCTTCAGGGCCGTGTGTCCAGCCTCTTTCAGCAGTACCCGAAAGAAACTAAAACCTGGAGTTTGATCACAGCGGCTGAGCCCAGCTGTGCTAAGTGAAGAGGATCCTGCAGGACCTGCTCTGTGTCAGACAGCAGCACATTAACCGCTGCTGACATCTGTCAGCACAGATAAATGAGGGGAGGGCTGACATCCCCTTCCTATTGCACTTCCAGGCTGCTGAGAGCAGGGATTCCCCAGCTGGGATGGCTTCCCCCTCTCCCGCCTCTTCAGGACCCAAAGCAGCGAGACTCGATACTCCTTCCCCCGCCCTGGTGCATGTCTGTCCATACGTTCCAGTCGACCTCCCGATTCCAGGAGCCGTGAGAAGAGTGGGGAGATCTGGCGATTGCTTGGCTGACAGGTGGGCAGAGATAACAGGGGAGGGATTGTTAGCTCAGCTGACCACATCTTTCCTGGACGGGTTGCACTACAGAGCAGTGGACTTGGTTGCACTTTTCCTACTGTCTCCTGAAGAAAACAAACACAAACCACTTTCTCCCTCCAGTTACCTGGGGATGGTTAAAATGAAAACTGGGGGGAGTGGGGGCTAGGGAAGGCCCTCAGATCTCAGACCCTTTTGCTTTTTGGTTGCAGGAGGGAGGCTGCTGGTAACAACAAACCAACGCCCCATCCCTGGAAACTGATGTGATTCTGAAATCCAAAAGACTGGTGTGATGCCCTGAATTTGATCTGATCCAGCCCAAACCTCGGGCTTCCTACAGCCGCATAGTGTTATAAACCATATGGCCTGGGTGTCTACCATGGAGAATGAAAGAGTCCAGACAAGGGCCTAACAATTCCTGCTATGGCCAGAAATATCACAGCCACTACCCAGCAATTCAGGTCATTGCGAAAATCACAACATCCCCCCCCCCCCCGCCTCAGTGAAGCCCTCTCGGCAACTTTTCCTTGTAGCTGGCCTTTGTGTGTCCTCTCCAGGTTGCCTGACCACAGACAGAGAAAGGCCAGTAATGCAAGTAGATTAACCACATAGTTAAGGCCCTGTTGCACTATTGAGATGGCACAAAGGTCCAGAATCTGGCTTCAAATAACCAGCAACCTCGTTGGATGGGAATTCCTTGCCACAGCAAGCACTGCTGAATCTGTGCCCGCCCCCCGCCCCCGACTGACTTCCTGGTATACGGGCACGTTGGGGCCCTGGCAGAGCAGACCTCTGCTAGCACAATCCTCCATTGCTTTGGGGTCCACAGAGAACTCTGGGCTGCTGGGACAACTTGGAACCACTCGGCAGCTGCTCTAAGTTGCGTCAGAGATAGATCTCAAAAATCTGGGAGCTGAAATTGGCTCCCAGATGCCCCCCTGCACAGCGCAGGAGAGAACGGATCTCTAATGCTTGCCAACTGCATCAGTAGGGTGGATGGTTGCGGTGGCTTTGATTGCACAGTGATTGATGTTTCAAAGCCTGAGGCTGAGAGACAGCAGTGGGATGGGAAAGCTCCTCTTTCGGGGGTGGCTTAGTGTCTGGGAAAGCCTCAGTCTTTGGAGTTCCTGAGTCACTGTTTGCGGCTGATGTACTCTATGTTCCTGGGTTACTCCTTGAAGAATATTTTCCAAATAAAGCATGCATGTTGTGGGGTCTGTTTCTCCAGAGGTTAATGATACTGATTCACCAGTTTCATGAATTGTGTCTGTTTCCCTCTCACCACATTTGTGTCTGCTCTGCAGTCCTCTGGGGAAGTTCTCATACAAGAGACTTTGTGCAATTCTCCCTGTTACCATCTTAGCATAACAACTTGATTGCAGAAAATAAATAAATAACTTTTGAAAAAATGATGCAGTAAAATCCCACATCTTCTCCATACCTTTTTTGCATGAACAAGCGAGTCGATAGGTACAAAGAAAAATGGTTGTAAAATCTCGCTCTCCACCCTCTCGTGAAATCAGCTTTCTTTCCTGGCTTTTCTTTAGCGAACGGGGGATTTCACTGTGTTTGTGTTTGTTATTGGGATAATGTCATCTGCCAGTGAGACCCCTATGTAAAAACTCATGCTACCTGTGTTGGAATCCCCCCGGCGTGCCACCTGGAGCTGTGGTACCACTGAGCCCTCTGACCCACCAGCTTGGGCTCCCTCTCACACTGTGCTGCTGTGACAAGTTGCAAAGCCCTCCAATCTTGCACTTTCACCAGCATTCACACAGGTAGGGACACACCCAGCTGCAGTTACATGTAGGCTCTCTAACCACCAGTCTCCCAGGCTAGGACCCCAGAGCAGTACCGTCCTGCCCCGGTCAAATCTGGCCAGTATGTGGGTTTAACACCCGGTCCACCTCTCCCTCAATGTGACGAGGACCATGCACACTTGTGGTAACCATGCTGAGATTTTCCCCAGACACCTTAGTCAAACGCACACTGGTTTGGATTAAAACATAAGTTTATAAACTACAAGAGGATAGATTTTAAGGAATTATAAGTGTTAGCAAACAGATCAAAGCAGATTACCTAGTAAATAAACAAAACTGCAAACTGAGCTTAACACACTAGATAGGTAGGATATGAATTAGCAAATTCTCACCCTGAGTGATAAACAGGCTGGCAGATTCTTAAGGCACTGGCTGCCTTGGCTTTGCAGCTTGGGTTTCCCAAGTTTTCATACACAGGCTAGAAATCCCTTTAGCCTGGGACCATCACTTTCTCCCGTTCAGTCCTTGTTCCTCAGGTGTTTCCAGGTGTGTTGTTGTAGGGAGAATGAGGTGCCCACATGATGTCATTTCCCCCTTTTGTATCTTCTTCCCACTTGCTGGAAAGCTCTTTTGCTGTGACCTCTCTTTTGCTGTGACCTGGGTCCAACAGTTCCCAGGGTGTAGTGCTATCTCGGAGAGGTTTCTATTGTTCACAGTTCCTGGGGTAATCCTTGTGCTTGTGTGCACTTCCTCAGTGAGCCATTCACATTGTTTGGCCTTTTTACTGTTGTACCTGCAAGGCTGCTTGTGGGTGTTTTCACCATCACAACAGGTTTCAGTAGCACATACGTAGCCAAACTTCATAACTTCACAGACGACGGTAGCACATACAATCCAATGAGATATGACTGTCTAGCAGATCAAGACTTTTAGAATGATACCTCACAAGGCATCCTTTGTGCAAAACATATCCTAATTACATGCCAGTGGTGAAGATTGGGGTGTCAGGATGTCACACTCACCATCTTACAAATGCAGAGGCTGCATCAGCAGTTGGGATCGAGCTGAAGGATCAAAGCTTACAGTTAAGTCCAGGCATTACTTGAGTCCCAAACTATTATTTATGGGGTCTCACTGTTGCAACAAGGAAGGAGATCACAAGAAATCTCAGGTGTAAGGTAAAATTCCTCTCTTGTATGCACACTGCGGCTCTATTGCAAACCTATCCCCAATGTGAAAAACTATTTTTTCTCCCTTGAGTATGCCTCCCACTTAGTACTGAATGGGAAATGTTGAGGTCCCCCCCCCCCCCAAAAATGTAGGCAAAAATGACATTTTTCTTAGAATTTTTTGGTTTTTCATAACCCCATCACCATCACCCCATCACCATCATTCCCAAAATCCGAAAAATTTCAGCCAAACCCCACATCTCTGGTTTGGGTTTTTTTTGGTTGTTTTATGAAAAAAAGTAATCAAACCCAGACGTTTCCCACAAAAAGGTCTGTTTTGACTAAAAAGCTATTTCCCATCTAAAAGAAAGTTTTGGATGGAAAATTTTCAACCAATTCAACTCTTGCTGTACCAATCTTTTTATAAGTGCACCACTGCCCTCTGCTGGATGGAGTTAGAACTGCTCAACTGTGTATCAGAGGCCCTATCCTGCTAATAGAGATTCTCCTTCAGCTCAAGTGGTAGGGGCCTGTGCTTTTTGGGGCAGGAGAGCCGGTACCGTACTCCAGGAGGCTCATAGCTAAAGGGTCCTTTCACTCACTCCCACAGCTGTGCAGCATTCTCTTAAAACTGACATACACCCAGGGACATTTTTGTTGGGGACCTCTTATAAATTAATGCAGATATATTGACTTGGCTGCAGGAAGTTCATCCCTCGGTTTGGACACCAGATGGGGAAACTTGTGGTTTATGATTCTGAACCAAGGCTGAGGGGAACTGTGCATCTGATTCTGATCTGACTCCCAGTGGCGTTAATCAGGAGTCATTTGATGGAAGTCAGTGGAGCTATACAGCTGCTAAGACAGAGAATCAAACCCCTGAGTTTTACACTGATCACTAAAGAGGGTGTGCCGGTTCCTTATGTTGTTCAGCGTAACCATCGACTGTGTCAAGGAATGCTCATGTTAATAATAAACTCCCTGTTATATAGTGCATGGAACCACAAGCACGTTCCCTCTCCTACTGTGGGTTTTCAGGAGTAGTGACACCAGCCATTATTCCCTTTGGTTAATTCTAGCACAGAAAATGAGATGCAAAATGTGGCTCCAGACCTGAGCTGTCCCAAAGTGCAGGGAGTATTTGGAGAGCCAGAGTTTTGCATGGGCCAGTTCCTGAGACTGGAGTCAGCTGCAAAGCTTGGCTCTAGATCCAGGCTTCATGGGTCAGGGATATTCAGAACAGAGGTGGGCCCATCTGTAGTTAAAATGGAATTTTAACGCCAGAAGGGGCTCTCTGGCAAAGGTCTCTGCATTACTGGGGCTTCTGCCCCTGGCATTTTTTATTGAAGGGAAAGGATGTGCAGAAGGGAGTCTGAAACATTTCTCCCCCTCGGTGCAGCCAATTGACTTGAATATTTTAAACAATGAGGCTTCTCTGTGGGTAATCAAAAAGCAGCCTTTAATCTGCAAGGATTTAAAAAATGCACAACTTCCTGTCACTTGAGCGGAGCTCAGAGAATCCTCAAAACCTTCCCACCACAGTCACTCTCCACTGAATCAGGGCTGCCCCCACCGAGACATCCATCTGGGCATGAATAATGTTCCACACTTAAAAATGTAAATTTGGGTTACATGCATCTCCCAGCTGGGCTCCCTGAGCCAGGAAGTGAGGTGCACTGCCTGCCAGGAGATCAGCAGGTCAGCAAGATATGTTTCTTCATCTGCTTAAATTATGTAAACGTATTAGAAAGAGCTGATGGGTAAAAACCTCACCAAAGCAAAGGGCGTTGGATGTCTCTCGGCTGAATTTGGAAGCAGATCCTTTGCAAATTCAGTGTGCGCAGCTCCAGCTGTTGATTTCACAGCTGGGCAACACCCCTTTGCTTACCCAGAATATTTCCCATGGCTGGAATCCACCTTCAGAATTTTAAAGATACATTTATCATCTTGATGGGTCAGCCCCACAGTCTCGCCTACCTTCCTCCACACTATCAGTTTCAGGTGGAAACTTTAAAACTCAGTGGTTTCCTGTGCTTTGGACCTAAATCTTGGCAAAACTTGGCACTGTTGGCTGGCTTTTGGTTTGGGTATTTTGTTCACCAAACTGGAACAAAAGTCTAAAGGGCAATTCAGCTTTTGGCGTGATACCAAAAGGAGGTGTCCACAAAACCCTGCAAACCTCTTTGTCTCACACAGAACTAGGCTTTATCTAGAATTAGAATTATTAGCATTGTTGTTATAACACTAACCTGAGCCTGGATTCCCATTGTGCCAGGTGCTGTACACTCGGGCTGGCCAGAAACCAAGAATTCTGTTGTGTGACAAATTTTGAGACCTTGACATTTGTTTTCATTCCGATGTGGAACAAAAATGAGAGAAAGTGAGAGAGAGAGAGAGAGACACACACACACAGAGCCACCCCTGAATAGTCAACGGTCCAGTGGGGGGGGGCACTTACCTGGAATTATTCTGCCTGATTCAGACCAGAAATTTCAACCTGCTCCTGAGAAACCTTCCTGATGAAATTTCTATTTAAAAAGACGTGTTTCCATGAAAAGTTTGTTTCAATGAATTGGCATTTTCCAATGACCAAAAAAAAAAAAGTGTTTTGAAGAATTCCTAACCACCGCTACTCTCCATCCATATAATCAGAAACAGTCTCTACCCCAAAGGTCTCACCGTCTAAGTAGACAAGTCAGACAAAAAGGGAGAGGGGAAGTGACTTGCCCAAGGTCATCCAGCAGGATGGTAGCAGAGGTGGGAAGGGAAACCAGGTGCCCTGATTCCCAGTCCAGCTTCCATAGCTGAGCAAACAGTTCACAGTGAATATTTTAGTCAATGACTTTTGCTTTTTTCTTTATTTTGAGATTTGTCTGTGTACAGAATACAACAGTCTCCAGCTTATTTATTATTCAGTAACAAACGGCGCAGTGAGTAGTTCTTGGCCTGCAGATCGTTTGGCCTGTGCATTGTGAGTAGTACAATGAAAGATGGGTGGTAACTAGCTCATGTAACACATCCACCTGACGTAACAAATCAACGCCACTTGAACTGCAAATGGCCCAGGCCACTCTAATCTTCACAATCTGCTGCATGTGCATTAGTTACATAAGCCGTCCGGAGCCTGATGCAAAGCTCACTGAAGCCAGGAATGGCCTGGCTACCCTGCAGCTGGGAGCGTGCTTCCCAGCCCTTGTAGACAGGCACACGCTAGCTCAAAATAGCAGTGTGGATGTTGTGGCACGGGCTAGCCACCTGAGTATGGACCTAGGGGGTCGGCTTGGCTTGTACTTGGAGGGCCAGTCCACGTTGCTACTTTTACTGTGCTAACGGGAGCAGAGCTAGCGTATCTCTGTCTCCCTGTGCTGGGAGCCACGCTCCCAGCTTCCGTGCAGACACACCCTGAGAGCCTTGCACTGACAGCAATGGGCTATAGATCAGGCTTCC